CATTGCTGAGACACTGATGCACTGCTGCATTTCTCCAAACCTGATCCCATGAAGAAACACCCTCAGGCATCCAAGATGTAGAAGAGTTTGAATAAATTACTAGCAGGTTTTAATTTCTGGGTGAACTAATGTTTTAAACACTTGAAGAGATTCTAACCGTTCGTAAGAGTCCTGTCTGAGATTGTGCAGATCAAACGTGTCCCAGAGAAGAGAAGGATCGTCCAGTGTGATGCTGGGCTTGTCTTCATTATCTGTTAAGGTGCTGGACAGAACGTTTCCCACAGGATCCAGCTCCGACTCCTCAAAGCTCTCCTGACTCTGGAGCGGAGCGGATCCCAGCTCCTCTGTCGGAGCGGGCCGATCTCTGGAAGAGCTGGGTGTAATGGTGACTGTATAAGAGCTCTCAAGATCATCTATCGGGAGGCTCAGCCAGGGGTTCTTGGGCAGCGTAGCAGAGCGCTTCACCTTGATCTCAAGGTTCAGAGAGTCGGAGGTAATTCTGGGAACGATCTGAATGCTGGCACGAGTGGAGTCCTGCTTTAAACTAAACCCTAGCTCTTCACGCTGGTCTTCAGAATCAGACACGCTCACAATGTTCTCCTCGTCAATCTGTCCATGCAGAGGTCTCGACTTGAAAGCAGAAGAGTCTCCATTTCCCAGAATCCTAGGCAGCGGCTCTCTTCTACTCCTGCTGTCCAGGTGACTGCTAGCCGCTCCATCGAAACCAGAGTCAAAGGAGCTGAGAGAAGGAGGTTTGCCTGCAGAAATCTGGTGATGGCAGTCACCAACAGAAGGCCACTTAGCTAAATCACACAAGCTCTCACACGGAGAAACTGCACGAGCGGACGAGTCTGGAGGCAGACGGCAGGAAACATGCTCGTCCTCGGGGGAAGTGATGTCAGAGGTCCTGTGGTGACCCTTGAGGAACTCATACTGCCACTGGAGGGCAAGCTGAAGGTCGTGAAGGGGAATGGCCCCAACGGAGGTCAAGAGTCTCCTCAGAGTCATGCATCTGTGGACGGTCATTAAAACATGTTCAAACAGAAGCGCCATGCTGTACAAGTCTGTATACCAGCACAGCATTTCCAATGACAAATATAGCCTCATTTCCAACCAACCGATAGACCCTTTTCACGTTTACAGGGTTCGAGAAGCAGAAGCTATCATAGTTAAACTTCTATAGTGATGAACAAACTACAAATCAGTTTTGCATTCCATTTGCCCCAATAACAAAAGATCCACAACAGCATCTCTACGACTTGCCAAAAAGGGGGGGGGGGGCTAAATGTAAATGTAGTGAAACCGTTTAGTAAGATGCTTTTTGGTAGTTGTCAGCCTATTGCAGGGCTCGACGCTTACATTTCTTTTTAGGAGCACTTGTGCTCCAAACTTTAGGAGCACGTTCAAAATTTTAGGAGCACCTTCTAATCAATAATCCAAAATGTTATCAAAAAGTAGCCTTCCCATTACGAGGTAATATTTGACTCCTCTAACTTTATTAAAAGTATGTCATCTTTTGTCAAATTCTTAAATTATATTTTATAAGCTTTAAAAACTGTAATTAAAAATGACAGAATAAGAAACAAGTTAAAAATCTAATGAAATTAGTATTAAAATTAATTTGTTGAGGTGGCACAGAAGAACACAAAAGTGGCTTGATGTACTTTCAGACATTTAATGAGGTTCGGAAGTGGAATGAGTGCAATTAAATCCATGATGATATTAATGTTTTAAACATAACATTTTGAATATAGAAATATTAAATGATAAGCTTTAAAAACTGTAATTAAAAATGACAGAATAAGAAACAAGTTAAAAATCAAATGAAATTAGTATTAAAATTAATTTATTGAGGTGGCACAGAAGAACACAAAAGTGTTGTTTGATGTACTTGCAGACATTTAATGAGGTTCGGAAGTGGAATGAGTGCAATTAAATCCATAAATCCATGATGATATTAATGTTTTAAATATAAAATTTTGAATATAGAAATATTAAATGATTTAAATAACTGAAAAGATACTTTAAAAATGAAACTAAAACTGCCAGCAGGTGGCGGCAAGTCTGATTTTTATCATAGAATCATTCAATTGATTCATTCGAACGGCTGATTCATTCAAGAATGAATCAAGTGACTGTCTTTATGAATGGGTGATCATGAATCACTAGATTCATTCATAAACTAAACACCACTGTGTTTGAATGGAGACGCGCAGTGGCTCTGCTGTGTCTTTGTTTTAATCTATTTTCGAAGACGAAATAGAGCAAAATCAGACAATAGTGTTATAGTCAGACAATGTAAGTCACTTAATATTAACTTCGTTTATTGAATTGTATTAAATCAGTTATCACATTTACAAACTCCCTTAATCATTAAAAGCTGTCACTCATCTTAGTTCATCGCGAGCTCACATTTATAATCAACGAAGCTCTCTACACTGCGCAATGAATCTCTTTACACCCCGTCTACACTTTGCTTATGAAAGGATTCGTGAGATGTCTGTGATACATTACTCAACGCTGCAAAAACACATAGAAAGCTTCCCTGAGCGCAATCACAAGTATGATGATGATCGGGTCAGTCACACTAGTGCTCCTAAAATAAATTTCATAGTCGCACGCAGTAGTTTTCAGACGCAACTGCAACTGAAATGGTTGCACTGTCGAGCCCTGTATTGTGTGCATGCATGACAGTCAGTATTGCGGACATGGGACCGAAAGGTTTTCTGTGGCCAGTTTTCAGTTACAGGTAAACTGTCATAGCAGAGCATCAGTTTAAAGATAATTGTGGTTTAAATTTGATGACCATTAGATACCATGCCTAGCAATGGATGCTCTGCAGTAAATGGGTGCTATCAGAATGAGTCCAAATCCACAATTAATGCAAGTAAATTCACAAGCTGCAATGTTAACTGATGGACTGGAGTGGTGTGGATTGTGATGTTTTTATCAGCTGTTTGGACTCATTCTGACGGCACCCATTCACTGCAGAGCATCCATTGCGGAGCAGGACATTTTCAGCAATTTTTGGGTAAACTACTCAATGCATTGAGGTTTCTTACCACCACAGCAACACAAGAGTCCACACTGAACAAGGCTGCATGCCCATAATGCACTGGACAATTACATGTTGACAAATGTTTGATAGCACAGCACAGAACGCAGCTTGTGCAGCGTAAGTGACCCAGTTTTCTCTGTGTACCTGTGAGACAGCTGCGAGCCAGTGTGCTGAAGGTGCAGGTCAGTTATAGCATCAGCGAGATGCGCCAGCTTCACCAGCTCCAGCACCTCCGGGCAGGGGTTTCTCCTGAGGAAGGTCTGGACTCCTCTCCTGCAGCTGGACAGGTCTGGGGCTCGGCTGAGCTCACAGTGTCCACTCCACAGCAGCTCCTGCAGGAGGCTCTCGCGCAGCACTAGATCATACCAGCTCTTAACCTGGAGAGAGCCAAACCAAACTCCGCTTACACACTTCAACTTCATTCTTACTACAAGTCAATGTCAAGCAACTAATACCACATTGTAGACAAGATCCTTGTTTGGGTCTCATTTTCTTTGACCTTGTGTAGTTCATGTCAAATGCCCCACTGTTCATGTCTACAGAAACCTTTACACATTTATGCACACCATAAAAAAAAACTAAAAAAACTCTGCAATTGTACCTGTGGTATACTAAACTAAACTTAAAGTCTGCTAAACTGGAACAACTAATGTTGTGCTTAAGGCACTTTGTGTGGAAGTAGTGCTGAAGACATACCGAAGTATATTTGATTGTGCTAAAGTGGAACTATTGCAAGTATACTTCAGGTGCACTTGAAATATCATGCATTTAAAGACCGGTATTATTCAGAAATCATACAATTCTCATAATAGTTACATTAAAACACATTTTAGGTTCAGTATTAAGAAATGTGCACTGTGCACAAGCAGTCCTTCAAATAAAGTTTAATTATATGTGTGACCCTGGAGCACAAAAGCAGTGTTAAGTCGCTGGGGTATATTTGTAGCAATAGCCAACAATACACTGTATGTCTAGAAGCACATTGAGAACCGTAACATACCTGATGCATGCACACACAGAAAGCCGCCTGTCAGCATGTAAGTGAACGGACTGAAGGGAGCCAAATTATTTCATTCAAATGCACAATTAAAAATAAATAAAATAAAAAGTCAAACCATCTGTCTTGATGTATTAACCATAATAGAATCTGTTTTCTCTTAAGTGAATGTAACCAGTCGAGAAAGAAACCTGTGTCAGTATACTGGATCATTTCATGGTCTTAAAGTGACCGCAGCATAATATTCCTGCTGCTGACTGTCAGTAACATTAATAAAACAGGCCAAAAGAAAAATCACTCACTGCTCTAGACAGATTAACTTTAGCAGCTTTAATAAGAATCAGCACATATTAAATTCATACAGTGAAGGGACCACGTTTTAAATGCAAGTACTGGTGTTATTTCAGAAAAACTAATCTCCGCCATTTCACCAGTTCCCCAGCAAAGCAAGGCTTATGGTACTGTATGCTTTTTCTTTGGACTATTGACCAACAGAGCGCATTAAAACTCAATCTATGCAGACACATGCAATGAAACATCAGCCTGTATGCGGCTACAAAATCTGCATAGTTTTCTCAATTCATGAGAACATGAGTGCGTAATACTGTCTGGAGCGGTGTCCAAAACTTTTCACTCACTCTTTCCTCATACCTTATATTCCTCGTCACTCTTTCCTCATACCTTATATTCCCACACACACGTTCCCATTTAAAAAAATAAATAAATCTGTTGTACATCTAATTTTTTTTCCACTTGTTCACTTGATACACATCAAGAATCAATACCAAATTCATATTTTAATGTATAATTGCTTTGATAGTGTATGACATGCCCCCTCCCCCAGGTATTAGCAGTAGAATTACATAAAATATATAATAGAAAATTAAATAGAAAGTATCAGTAAAAATTACAAAAACAATCAACTGGAACTTTAATACTTAAGTACAATAAATAAATACTTCTTTTCAGTTTTACTTGAGTAAATGTGCAGGAGTACTCATTGCTTTTACTGGAGTATTACTTTATTTGTGGTATCTGTACTTTTACTCAAGCACGTGATTTGTGCACTTCGTCCACCCCAAGCTACAATATGACCGGGTGCACAGACAGCCCTAAACATTGGGTTTGAGAGCTAAATCGGCTTTGTGTGCAGTAGCTCCTGTAAATCCCTGTGAGATTAGTGAACGTATGTGCTGGAGTTTTGTGAGGTCCAGCTCAAACAGTCAGAGCCGTACCTCCGAAGCTGCTGGAAGCGTGCCTGGTTCACACAGCAGAACTCCTGCAGCCGCTCCAGGTCTGCTGGGACGGGACGCTTGGCGAGCGCCTGCAGAGTCCAGATACAGGACGGCAGACGGTTCACCACCGACAGGAACTCCTGCACAAACGCATCGATCTCCTGCACAGACCAGAGGACGAGACACTCAAGACACTAAACCAGATTCAGCTTTAAAGGGGTCATGAACTGCCTCCGTTTTTTATTTTGAACTGCTCTGAGCTCCATTTATAATGTTAATGTTAAAAACATCAAATTTAGAAGTAATAAGCTACTTTCTGTCCCGTTTTAACCCCCTCATCAGAACACTGTTTGGATAGACGTGGAGGATTGTAGACTCCCAAGTAAACACCACTGCTGTGATTGGCTAATAGTTGTGTATGTGACAGCCTACATTCCTTTCAGATGGACGCTGCGGTGATTAAGTCAAAAACACAAACACTCCATACATATCAAACGATCTGTTTACCAGACAAAGAGATAGTGATCACGTAAAGAAAACCGTTACTCACACTTGTGTTGCGACGTTATGGTCAGATCCAATATAGTCACAGCATCGTCTTTTAGCTTCAATCTTTCTGAAAATCCTGCATCGAATTGTGTCTTGTTTGTTAACAATGTCAAAGTTAACAGTGAACAAAGAACCGAGTTCGTACTGGCGTGGTCTGGATCTTCATTAGAAATAAAGTTAATTCACTCTTTCCTAACGTTGGGATCAGAAGGAAGGCAACGTAAACACTGTTTATCCACAGCTTGGGACTGCACAGCATCTGGTTGCCTTCAGAGCATCTTTATCGTTTGGTTTCTGCATAGACCTGCGCGTTTGCCACTCGTTATTTACACTACGTGCAGTGGGCGGCGCCAAACAGGCAGCGACAGAACCGGTGGGCGGGGCCAAACAGACAGCGACATAGAACCGGTGGGCGGGGCCAAACAGGCAGCGACATAGAACCGGTGGGCGGGGCCAAACAGGCAGCGACATAGAACCGGTGGGCGGGGCCAAACAGGCAGCAACATAGAACCGGTGGGCGGGGCCAAACAGACAGTAGGCGTGTTCGACTTGAAAGCAGACTGATCGAAGTATGACAAAGTATCACGAGAGCGATTCGAAAACATGAGCAGCAGTCTGCTCTTATCACTCTTGCGGTACTTTGTCATACTTCGATCGGTCTGCTTCGCGCTGGATTAATTCGAACATACCTAGTGATGTAGAACCGGTGGGCGGGGCTAAACAGACAGTGATGTAGAAGCAGGCGTTGATGATCTGTGGAGGCGGTGCTTATCCACACTACTACATTATAGAGTCGCACATTCCACAAGCTGCTGTTTGGCACACTGACTTCAATATAAGCGGTTTTTAGACTAACGATAAAGTTTTGAGTTCTGAAACTTACAGGATGTTTTTATAGTACAATGACCTCTTATGTGTCAAAAGATCAAGGGAATTTTGCTTTCTCAGTTCATGACCCCTTTAAAAATTAACTTTAAAACCTTTAACAAAGTACCAAAAGAAACAAACATGCCCCAGCAATCTTAACCTGAGGAGCGCACACCCTTACCAAAACCCACGCTCTCTGCTCAAATAAAGGCTCAAAGAAGCCCGGATCAGATCTGACAGACAATACCAAGCCCCGAGTGAACCCATGAGAAAGAGCGGATGCTGGACAGCGCTGATGAGCACACCAGAGACAGTGTGCGGCCCTTTCACATGCTAATGACTGCAGATGATTGTCCTCTGAATCTTCTCCAGGACGACACACAATAGAGACGATGCGCTCATGAATACACTCACTAATGAAACACACATCTGAGTCAGAGCACAACACGCACACTAAACATGCACATACTAAACACGGCCGCTGCCAGAGAGCTGCTGAAGCCGTGAGGATCTGCTGGGAAAAAAAAAACAAAAACATTTTTATAGAGTACGTCAAGCGTTATCCAAGGCCATCAGGGCCGATCATGAGACCCTGCTGTGGCGTGACTGATCCATCCTGCTGCAGACGGAGCCCGAGAATCAAAAACACACGGCGCATTCATGCAACGACTGGCTACTCGGATCTAAATAAAGGCTGGAGGGAGGACCGGAACAGGCCATCACATGCATTCAGATATCACACACACCATTACGGTGGGGTCCTTTCACTGGACTCTTGAGGTTTTATTACTGAGCTTAGGAGATAGTTTCTGTCCCCTAAACAAACCTTTCTGTATTTAGACACTTTCATCAAAACATTTAACATGCCAAGCAAATAAGCAAAAAAAACTCCTACCTTAACGAAGGCAACCCAGCTCTTATGGCAGTATATGAGGTATCCACCCAAACTAGACGGTAACTGGCTTCTGTCGATGTAGTTGGAAAGCTCAAAAATCTCTTTGAGGAAGACACGCTGTCCACAAAAGAAAACCGACATTAGAGCTCAATGTTAAAACCAACCGCTTCAATGCAGGAAGAAATACGGCTTTGGAAATCAGTGATAGGGAATTGATTTAATTCGATTGAGATTAACAAGTTCAATTGTCAGTTAATATGTACACAATTTCTGTAATATTTCAGATATGGGGACATTTTCAACATGGTACAAAAATAAAGCTGTAAACCAGCGGTTCTCAACGGGACAACAGGATAATCAAATTATTAAAACTCCTATTTGATTTCAATTTAAATTAACGTTCAAAATTAATATTCAAAAGGCAATCTACATGTAAACATTTAATAAAATTAAGATAATGAACATTACAAATGTATATTAAAAGAAAGACAAAAATAATAATAATAAAGATTAAGATGTTAAATGCAAACACTTGTTTTTATCCCCCTCAGTTGCTAGTTTTTATTGAAGAGAACAGTTCATATGTTATGGTCCATGAGGTTTTGAATTGTGTTGGACAACAGGCGGTTTTCCATTGTGTTAAACACTTCTGTAAACTACAGCAAACCCTTTCATTTAATATAACACCAGCTCAAACCATTAGTCAACAGCTATTTATTATATTCACATAAGCATTTAAAAACGGCATTGTATAGTAACATTTAAACTACATAACAAGGTTTCATGAAACCACATAACTCGCAGTAAATGAACTCTAAACATTAAGGAAAATAAGTGGCTTTGACCGAGAAATCACATCTTTCTCATTTCAGTCTCGATGTATAATCGTTTTAATGGTGGCGGTCATATCTCATGCTCACGACGGATTTATTCAGATACACTCCTCTCTAAAGTACTTTTCTAGCCAACTAACAGCTTATGAGCACTGAGACGAGCTGAAACCCTGATCGTCTGATTACATGAGGCACGATTCATCCCAGTAAGCTGTTCTGTTTTTTAAACACCGCCTGATGCTCATTCATGTTTGTGGTTTTTTTTTGGTGATTCTCGTTATTCAAACTCATTCAAAAGTTCACAAAGGTGGGGGAAACACTATATTTTGCCCATTGGGACAGAGCAGAGGTGTGGAATATGGGTAAGTGAAGGTCTGGACTCTTCATTCAGATGCGTTACTCACTTTGAAGAGGACGGGTCTGTGCTGCTTGGAGCCACTCGGTGTCAGGAGTTTCCCCAGCTGCTTCAGGACATCTTTCTTCTTTGGTTGAACAATATACACCGAGTGGATGATCCTTCTGGAAACCTACACAACACAGGACAGTACAGCAGACGCCGTGTAGGCTCAGGGAAGCTCAGTAATGCAGGGCTGTGAGATTTCTTTGTCCATGTTAAGGACAAGGGCTGCCCACTCGCCTCCATTATTAGATAAGAGCAGACATGTGACGATAGCAGGCATGTGATCCTCAGCTCTTGGCCTGCGCAGTCTCAAGATCTCAGCCTCGTCGCAAGCGCAAACCTAGAGCTTCACAAGACCATCACAAATGCAGAGGAAGAGCTCACCCAAAAATCCAGCATGAAATAAAACGGGCATCTATAAATCGCCATGCATCAAAGCCAATCTCCTAAAGCCCATCTGATTTAAACCGAAATGAAGTTCGCTAAACAGCTATAGCTCCAACTCATTTGCTCGCATGTTAAATTTTGGCACATGAAGCCGCATTACGCCAGGTTTGACGTCAATGATGAAAACAGCATTCACTGATCTTGCCCTGTGCCAGAGCTCACAAGACCCATTCACAGTCCTGTTTTCAAACCAATTATACCGTCATCACAGTCCCATGACAGACAACTGATAGTTCAGCCCTGCTGGTAGATTCAGTAACCTCACAACTCTGTTACAAAAAGCCCCTTTCTTCAATTGATGGCCATTCAACAAGTCTGAATTGAAAATCTTTTGCAAGCAACATTTAAATAATTTCATTATAATAAATGTTTTCTTGTCTGATATTTTGTGGAAGCTCTTAAAAGGGCGAGAGATTTTAAAGTGTTCCTTCTAGGGATTTCACAATTCTCAATATAATATCAAATCGTTCGGTACAACATCCACGGTTCAATACGCGCTCGTGAACTACAGTTTGTGGTTTTAAGTTTAAATGATATCCGTGTGTTTAATTACACTCAGAAACGGCTGTGTGTGTCCATGAGTTCACGTGCTGAGATGAGGAAACACCTCATCTTATATTTGAAAAAGCAACATACGCCGAGCATCTTCCCTTGTAATGACATGCAATGAGAAGCCTTTCTAAACCGGTTGTTCAACAAAAGAGAACAACTTGTTTTTACGTCACAACATCAGTCGAGTGTTTGAAATAACTTCCTTTTGTGATCTGATGTGGCTTCCTACCCCAGAATTAGGCAGAAAATATATGCTATACTGTAATAAAGGCTATGTCGATTAGAAATGGCTTACAAATATCCTTAATCATTATGAAAACACTCGAGATGGCTTGAAGAACACAGATAAATCATATATTGCTGCAGACAAGTGTTTATTGTCCTTACATTTCATCATTCAAAATGTTTAAAGTTATATCTTCGTTTTATTCAGTTACAGCCATAGTGATGCCTTTATCCATATTAGGGATTTCCTGGAACGTCATCAGTTCTATTACTTCTGTGATGCATATGTGGAGTTTCTGTGTGAGGGCGCCCTCTGGTGTCCAGTATGAATGAAAGACACTACATGTGTTTATAGCACTCAATTGCCAATCCATCCGATTTTAGGTAAAAATCTGAAAAATACCTCTCATAAGAAAATACTCTGATGTGCCAAGCTATCAGAACAGAACACAGTGGTTAAAAACCGAGGCATGTATTGAACCGTGGACTAACTATTGTTGCATCCCTAGTTTCTTCAGAGTCTATCTGCAAACACCAAACATCTGAGAAACTGAGCCAAAGTCTTCAGGGTTGCTTGAATATTACAGGCAGGAGTGAAGGAGCTGATCTGCATCGCACAGTCACATGACACTTACAGGACAGGTGATTGGCTTAAATTGTTCCCGAAAAGCAAAGATGGCAGCAAGCAGGGGTAAAACAGCCCAACCGAGTAAACACCACTGACAAACTGTTTAGTTAAACAAGCTAAAGTGAGGTTGGACTTTTTTGCAGCTTGACTTTCACCGTCTAGAAAACACTCGGCCTCCATTCTGGCTAGGGGTGGGAGATATACCGTGGTTACTTGCTCACGTGACGTTTCTATGCAACGTTGTCAAGAAAACCTGTCATTCGCATGCGTTTCAGCATTGCAGTTTAAAACAAGTGATTTCAAGTCGTTGAAACAATAAGCAGCTAAACCGAAACCGAACTTATTTTGCTATATGTGCGTGCCGTCCGAGACGGTTTCTGAGCGCTGTCATTAGAGAGGCGCTCGCACGTGTAAACACCGTCATTTAGGTCTTAAGTGAAAGCAGCAAACAGCGGAGAAAGAAAACGCATGTGACAGTACATTGGAGCCGAGCAGCTCTTAAAGTGACAGCGGTCTAATATTCCAGCTGTCTGTCATTCATGTTAATTAAACAGAGAAAATCTCACTGCTCTTGACTAAATCACTTTTGTAACTTTCATAAGAGAGATATATATATATAATTTAGTGAAAAATATGCTGTTTTCATAGATTTTATAACTTCATACAATGTAGCATTTATTTGTTCTACTGTAGTTTGTCTTATTGCTTCTAATTAGTTTATTTTTCTTATTTAGGAAGCTTTTAATATTTTTTTTATTTAGGCTAGTATTAGTTTGTGATATTGACACTGGTGACAAGAGTTATGAAACTACTATGGCATCAAAAGTCGATAAAGACCTTACTTAAACAATTAACTACATTGTGATATAGAATAGTTACTGTAAAATAAAATTACTCTTATTATATACGATTTTGGTCATATTGGCCATCCTTAAATCTGGCTTCATACACAACCATAACAGAGTTTGATGAACAAATACATTTTTATTTTTGAGAGAAATCTGGAAAATGGTCATTAAAGAATAAGTGTGCCACTTTTCAGACAGCTTTGTGTTGCTACGGCAGCACATCTAAATGAACAATGCATTCAGTACTACCTGCACCCAAACAAACCAGTTTATTGGTCCACAGAAGTCTGCAGAATGACAAAAAGCATCATTTTGTTGATTGGCTTTTGACAGCTACAGTGCTTTTGTTAAAACTCCAGATGGAAACTCTGCATTCTTGTATCAGTCAGACTGAATCAATGCACCAAGGGTGCTGAAGTTTATCAAAAGGGAACGCCACACACCTTTTCTCTACCATACCCTGATCAGTGAGAGACGCAGCTGCAGGTTTGCACTGAAGTACACTGTATGAAGTCTCTGAAGGACAGCACGATACGTGACATTATCACCAACCACTCCATTTCATTGCCTTAGAGCAGTTCGGTGTCGCCAAAGAACGTTCAAGGCTTGGTACAAGGACGATATCTAGAGCTATAAACACAGTGATGTGTGCCTCAGTCACACGAAGAGGGAATAAACATGAACACGCTACTCCTTTCGCAACACATCTAGGGTCAATCACGGCAAACTGTTGGATTAATAGTGTAGTTCACTAATGCTTCAAGCGGATTAAACCACAAAACATTAACCCGGTCATCTCCTCCTGCACATATAGAGACCAAATGACACTTATAGAAAAGCCAGAATGACACTACACGAGACAGAATAATAACGCAAAGAATACCTCCAACAACAGGAGAGTTTCAGCAATGAAGCGTGCGATGGCGAGGTTGGCTTGCCTCAAATCAACAACCACAGACAGCAGCCTCTCCTCGCCTCTTATGCTGCCAACAGAAAGACACAGGACAGAGGTGAGAAACACCAAACACACAACATCAATCAGGCAAAACGACATGACCGGATTCTGTGAAACACAACAGATCTGGCAGAAAGTCCAAGCTGCTCCATTTCAGACAACAGTGATCAAGGGATGTCAAGAGCAACACAAAAGCACCAGAGGCCCGTAATCATAACTCGTGTGTTCGACGTTGTTATCACATCTAAAGGGACCGTTCGACTGAAAGTTAAGATTCTGTCTGTTCTAAACAGGTTTCATAGAAGAAATTAAAGTCACAGCCTACATAAGATATTTTAAAGGATTTGGGTTCATCTGTTTTTTGTGACTATTGACTTCTATTATGTGGAATAAAAAGAAAAAAGAAAAAAAAAAAACTGAAAACGTCAAGATATATTTTTCCATAGAAAGAAAAAAAAAAAAAATCATACAGGTTGGTAACGCATGAGGGTGATGACCGAACGATAATTTTCTCTGTGAACTATCCCTTTAAGACTTTACAAAAATAAAAAAAGAATTGTCCTTGGTGTTAAAGGAATAGTTCAACCAAAAATTAAAATGTCCACACCCTCTGATCATCCCAGATTAGGATGAGATTGTTTCTTCATCAGGTTTGGAGAAATGCAGCAGTGCATCAGTGTCTCAGCAATGGATGCTCTGCAGTGAATGGGTGCCGTCAGAATGAGTCAAACAGCTGATAAAAACATCACAATAATCCACAGCACTCCAGTCCATCAGTGAACATCTGGAGAAGACAAAAGCTGAAACTAATCCAGCATTAAGACGCTTTGAACTCAAATACCATAGAGTCCATAAGCTTCCTCCAGAGAAAAAGTTATCAGCTGTTTGGATTCACTGCAGAAGATTGATTTGTGAGCAAGTGATGTAATGCCAAATTCATTCCCATTAATAAATACTCATCTACTTGGTCCTACACAAAGCTGCATAAATTTAAAAAAAAAAAGATGTTTATGACGCTAAACTATTGATACTCGCGCATGTTGTAAACTATTGTAGAGTGCTAATGGGACAAACAGACTTGCTATTACATGCCTTGTGTCCTTTAGGGAGCATGCATCGGCACCATTATAGGTGATGACCGAACGATAATTTTCTCTGTGAACTATCCCTTTAAGACTTTACAAAAATAAAAAAAGAATTGTCCTTGGTGTTAAAGGAATAGTTCAACCAAAAATTAAAATGTCCACACCCTCAGTTCATCCCAGATGTAGATGAGTTTGTTTCTTCATCAGGTTTGGAGAAATGCAGCAGTGCATCAGTGTCTCAGCAATGGATGCTCTGCAGTGAATGGGTGCCGTCAGAATGAGTCAAACAGCTGATAAAAACATCACAATAATCCACAGCACTCCAGTCCATCAGTTAACATCTGGAGAAGACAAAAGCTGAAACTAATCCAGCATTAAGACGCTTTGAACTCAAATACCATAGAGTCCATAAGCTTCCTCCAGAGAAAAAGTTATCAGCTGTTTGGATTCACTGCAGAAGATTGATTTGTGAGCAAGTGATGTAATGCCAAATTCATTCCCATTAATAAATACTCATCTACTTGGTCCTACACAAAGCTGCATAAATTTAAAACAAAAAAAAGATGTTTATGACGCTAAACTATTGATACTCGCGCATGTTGTAAACTATTGTAGAGTGCTAATGGGACAAACAGACTTGCTATTACATGCCTTGTGTCCTTTAGGGAGCATGCATCGGCACCATTATATGGAAAAGAGCAGCTTGCAGATGTTTAGACCGCGTGAAAGCGGAGCGTGTCGTACTTGTGCAGGCGCAGACAGTAGTGTATGAAGTGGGACACCTCCTCTCTGCGGAGCTCCTCTGGGAGTTTACCCTGAGCCTCCGCTGGAAACACCACCAGAGGACAGCCGTGCTGGTCGAAGGCACCTGCGGACACAGAGCTGCATCAGAGCGAGCACACACAGAGAGACAGAGAGACACAGAGACACAGAGAGACACAGAGACACAGAGACACAGAGACACACAGAGACACACAGAGACAGAGAGACACACAGAGACAGAGAGACACACAGAGACAGAGAGACACACAGAGACAGAGAGACACAGAGAGACACAGAGAGACACAGAGAGACACAGAGAGACACAGAGAGACACAGAGAGACACAGAGAGACACAGAGAGACACAGAGAGACACAGAGAGACACAGAGAGACACAGAGAGACACAGAGAGACACAGAGAGACACAGAGAGACACAGAGAGACACAGAGAGACACAGAGAGACACAGAGAGACACAGAGAGACACAGAGAGACACAGAGAGACACAGAGAGACACAGAGAGACACAGAGAGACACAGAGAGACACAGAGAGACACAGAGAGACA